GGTAACCACAAAAAACTCACATTCATTATTCGCCTCTCACAGTTATGTATGTGTATTAAATCATAACTATTTTCTTATTTTCATAGAATTCGAACAAAGAAAAGTCTTCGAAGTCCAAGAAGCAGCCGGTGTTTCTTTCCATAGTATAGAGTTGGTTAGAGTATGTAATATCGATATGACTATAATGTGTAGAGAAGTGTCGCGTGATATGATGTTAATTGTGCAATACAATATAYTTTATTAGTTTCCAYTGTGGGATCTTCCAACTAATTTACACTAGTAGTCTATTTCACGGTTACCTGCGCCATCTTGAAAGGTAGCCGTGCCTTTAAATCGAAGCGAGACAACCGTTGAGCGTGCAATGATAGAAACCTGTGAATATTTGTCTGTAGGAGTGAAAGAAGGTTTCTATCATTGCACGGTCATTGAACGCTCAATGGCCGTCTGGATTCGATGCAAAGGCACGGCTACCTTTCAAGATGGCGCAGGGAACCGTGAAGGAGACTATTGTCTGTAAGTATAGAGGTCATAGTGGTTTTCTATAAMTGATTCGCATAGAGTTGTCGTCCGTAAGACATGAGAAGTAAKTCCACTATGTTTATATTAAAACTTAATTTATCTCTGTTAATTTATCCCTAATATTTATGGCCATTCTTTCTGCAGCAAATTTGCGGATTAATCAGTWAATCTATCTGTCTGCCTTTTGATCCAGTCAATGTAACTACTGACACGCGTAAACACTGAATAGTGATTGGACGATGAGCAATCAGGATCGCCCCAGCTCACCACTCCTTGAAGGATCCAGCGGTCACTCTCTTTATCCTTGCAAACAAACGGACCACCGCTGTCACCATTGCAACCATTGGTCTTCGTCTTCCCAGCATCCCCTGCRCACAGCATGTCGTTCGTCACGTGCCAAGACTGGTTATTAGTRTGAWGGAGGTCTCTGTTGGGTGARGACGCCAGCTTCTCTGCGCATGCCCGATTTGTGACTACAGGCATCGCAGCTTGTTGTAAAAACTCGGCTGAATCACCTGGATGAAACATTTTTCCCCAGCCTGTTAAAACATAACAGTTAGCAATTCTAAAAGTYAATTTATTTGATTTAATTAACTCTCTTTCACCCTTCGCTCACTAGCGTCATTTTCCGTGCGCACAGCGTGCTCCTGTACGTGGAATTGTAGATCAAAAACACACAAGGTATTTATCTCAATGTTTATCAGTACCTGAAATGAAACATTTGGATCCAGGAGGAACTTTCTCTCCTTGTCTTGGCAAGCAAACAGTATTGACAAATGGCGTGATGCGTGCCTTGCGTGACAGCTGTAGCAATGCAATATCATTATAAGGTACATTGTACAATTGATGTTTGATTATTCTCTTCACCCTGAACATCTGTTCGGAAACTTCAAACTTTCTGCGATCGATTCCTCCGATGTCTACTACATATTTGGTGTGGTCGTCGTCTAGTATACAGTGGCCAGCGGTCAATACCCATTCACTGTCAATCAAAGATCCACCGCAGAAGAACTGGAGATCACCAGACTCCGGCTGAATAAGACTTAACTGAGCCTGCCATGGCCACTCCCCAAGGGTAGCATCGTCACCTGATACAACACGTGAGCTACCCGAGTTCACTAACCCACATTGTCCATCTAGGAAATATCAAAAGCCACTATTATAATTTTCTTATAAAACAACATTTTCGCAATTATCGTAACATGTACTTTCATATCTTAGAATAACAAATAGGTATGTATTGCAAACTCTATGCAAACATCAATTTACATACAAATAGACAACGGAAAACAGCCAAAGTATCTGAAGTGTTATGTTTTAAGTTTGGTTGAACTGAATAGCCGGTAATAAATGAAATAATGTCCGTAATTTAGACGTATGATGAGGCAGCTCACACTCGTCCTTTTTTATTCTCAAATTGCATGCAAATATTGTGACCTGATCAYCTTTGTCATTTCATCTCTAGAYATTAGGTTATGAGAAGTCTGACTGTCGTTTACATTATAGAGAGTGAGTGAGCGAGTGAGTATTATGCCTGTATTGTGATAGATATGTATGTTTATCAATATTTTTATCAAGCCGCATCAAAGCAAGACAGGTTTTCATGATTTTTGTCAAAGAAAGATAAGTCTTGAAGATTGTGTGATTGCAGCTGTTCTCGGCATACTTGTATTTTGAAGTAAAGCTTCAGCTACACGAAAATTATAGCTTATAAAAACATATATGATAAATTGACAAGTTCACCGCACAAACGTTCATTGAAGTAGACTCAAGACACTTGTACCAACGCCTACTGTTCCTTTGTTCTATGTTTTACACCTCTGTTTACTTCCCAATTGCATGACTTTGCCCGATTTTATGTATTCTAATTTTCTTCCCATTCAATCATCCATGCTATGTTCATTTACTTAATTAATTTTTCATCTTTGCGCAAATCGAAGAGGAATTACATCTACTTATTTACTAAACACTACTTGCCAAACAGAAATGGATATATTACGTGTCGCTCTTCTTGTGGATAGATCGGAAGCATCATATCAATTGTCTGTGAGATTAGAATAACGAATATGATAACATGTTAAAAACTGTCATTTGCTTACCTTTTGGTCCTTCAAAATTGTCTTGAAACCGTCGAAAACCTCGAATGTTCCTCAAATTATTGTTATGAAGAAGAAAGCCGAGGCGATTTCCTAATAAAAATAGACAAAAAATAACTTTCCAACTTGAGTCGAGAATATATCATATAGTATAAAAGGTATCTTCAAGTATGATTTCAGAATGGTAAATACAAGAAACCCTTGGAGCTTTTGTTAAACATTAACTTCGCGACATTTCGAGCGCAGGTGCACGACAACGTTGCCCGCCATTCCTCTTTTTATGCCAAGTTTATTGTWCAGAATATATGAAGTACTGGCTGTAGACTAAAAGACAAGCTCATAAAGCTTATACCGTTTATGAATTCTTGCTCTGAGAAAGCCACTAGCAAGAAGACCAACACAACAGCCAAACGAACAGCCATATTGGAGCGATGCTAAGTGAAGTTGATTGATACTCGGAGATGTTATTCAAGTAAATGTCAACGATATTATGATTGGTCAGCAGGAAATAGATTTTTCTTTAGTTTAAAACACAATTGTGAAAGATGGATGGAATTTCAATCTCTTATACCAGCATCTGGCGCTATTCTATCTATAAATCAGAAGCTGATAAGATCAATTTTGATAACGTGGATTTATTTGAAGTGTACAGCAGTGTTTAATGGCCATATATAAAGTCTGGTACATGTATACAGAAAGAATATTTTCTTTAATAGTATAATATTTTTATTTTTAGCTGACGTCTGATTAACTGACTTGTTAGATTGTCTGATGATTAAAACTTCTTAAATCTTCAAATGTGAAAGTGTCATCTGGTTGTCGAAAACACGTGAATGTTTACGTGAGATGCCACACCCTTACAAGACGTCATCATCACCAGGTTCCTCAGAGAATCATGGGATAGCTATATCTCTACCCTCTCTTAAATSAKCCGATCGTCGCCATGGAAACACCATAAGGAAAGACTGTCTGTATTGMGGAATACGGTAGAARTACAAYACTGGATTCATCGCGGAGCTAACACACAGCAAACTGACCGACAATACATGGAACATGGCAAGAGTACTATYACAATTGCCATGCGCWATCACGTGATAGTCGCGATAGCAACCGTTGCCTAGAGAATGTGTAATGAGATAAGGYGTGAGAGATACAAGCACCACAAGAAGAATCAGTAAAATAGTCCCAACTATTCGCTTCTCAAACTGAATGTTTCTTACACCGTGAGTTTGGTTATTGAAATTTTCGGATAATACAGAGTTTCTTGAGTATTTTCTAAAATATATAACTGTAGCAGTTGAGATGGTRAGTAACCCCACTATAGGGACGGTAGTCTGCAGGTGGACGTCCGCTTGATGAAGCACCTCTAATTGAGCACCCAAATGAGAGCTGGCTTCAAACGCGCCAACAAACAACCAGATTAATAAGTTAAGAAAACAAGCTCTCTTTCTAGTAATTATGAAGCGGTATTTCCAAGGAAGRGCCACAGCTACTAGTCGATCAATAGAAAGAACAACCAAGGTCAAAATGGATATTTTGTTTAAATGAGATCCATACATGACAAACATCTCCATTGATTTGGATGTGTTTTTGGTTATTTCATACACCAATAAAATTGAATTAGCAGTTTGAACAAAAACACCGTTCAAGAAATCTGCAAATGCGATACTTTGGATTAAAACTGTCGARGATCGTCTGTGAAAACACTTTAAAGGATCTTTGTAAATAGAAAACAGTAAAAAACTGTTTAAAATACCTGCCGTCAGACCTAAAACTACGCTGACAACCAGAGATGCAACTTGAACATTTAGAATATCTCCTTCTTTTTCATGATAAGTCGAGTTGAATTCTTGAGTCGAATTCTTCATGTTTGACCGGCTAAGTTTAGCAGAGCTTTAAGAACTTCCTCTCTATTAAAAGGCTATCTCTTGACTAGTGATTGACGTCGATTTGACCTGATGGCAATAATTGCCGAACTATTGGAAATTAATGGTACAATATCAACCAATTATTTAATTGTAACCATGGTGATAACAAAACGGGCGCCTGTTTTCTCAAAAGCAATAATATTTAGTTGACAAATAGACTGACATTGCTATAATTGAAAATTTGCTCTGTGTTACATAGTAAGATGATGAGAAACCCGTCATGTGACTKTCCTAAAGGATYGTTTTTACTGCGCATGCGTTCTTATTCCAGATCAACCTCAAAAAAYATAGCATAGATAATCAGGCGTATTTCGGCTTCAAAAACAAACTTTKTGTTTTCCTAATCCGGTACTTATTGCAATYTCCTTATCRYCATTCTAAATTTATCTCTTTTAATAAACAACGGACAGATAATCACCGACATAAACAAATGAAGCTTAACCTCTTATGGGTGTTTTCATTCATTTAGCCYTGAAGGGAAGGTCACTGCTTTGCTAATCTCGTGCTAAAGATCTTGATAGTGCTTAAACTCYTTAAACAGAACGCCGACATGCTGTAGAAACGTAGATATTTCACTACATAGGCAACCAGCTGCTCGTCTGTGAGCAGGCTTTAATTATGCATGGCATCTTAATGCTTACTAGACTCAAAGTGTTGTTCTAACAAAGGAAAAGTCGTTGAACTTCAAGAAGTAGCCGTCATTTTAATGTAACATGTCTGTTCTGTCTTTTGTAGTGTTTAGTTTSTTTTTGTTGCTGTTGCTTCTTAGTTTCTTAGTCTTTACTATACCTTGCCTTAATTGTTTGTTTGTTTGTTTGAAATAGTGGAGGCCGATAGGAATTGTGGGAGTACTAAACTGTATTTCAATGTAAAATAACGTGGTACTAAACCAAAGTGATACTATGCTAAACCGTAGAAAATGATTTGTGATAATCAAAAGAGCCAAATTTATTGAAATTCAACCGTATTTATGCTTTGCTTTGAATGATACCCACAATCCTCATCGGTTCCAGGTGGTTGGTTTCTCAATGATCAACAGCTATTCGGAAGTTGTTTTCCTTTTAAGTAGATAAAATCCACACAAGATCTATGGAGTGGATAGCTTTATTTTCGAGTGGATAACTTTATAAAACCAACCCCTGGTTGTAAACAACCCTAGAAAATTACTGTACTTTTTAAGATTAAGAAAAGCACGAGGCAAAGTTCGTGTTTGTTGACCTTTCTCAAGTGCAGACGTATCATTCCCTGGTGTGTGTGCTATAATCATTGAGCATGCACTGCGGGCGTTTTTGTCATTCTATTATAGTGTAAATCAATGTTGACATTTTTTTTGGATCGATATCTACTTGTTTTATTCTACTCGCCAGTAGTCCTAGACCCCTTAACTAAAGTCAGACAACCTCATCAAAAGATATTCCTCTTGGCACCATATCTCTGCAGTATTATTGCAATTACTTGCATTGATATCAGTATTTAAGTAAATATGGCAGTACATATCTCATAACTGTACGATTCTTTAGTATAGTGTGAATACCAARTATTTCTTCAGTACACTGGTGTGATAGAACACCAGGGGTCTTTTATTATCCTTACACCGCGACAGTCCGACCAGCTGCTCTTCAACGTTGCGTGCTCGCCAAATGGTCGAGACGGCCTGGTTAGGACGTCACAGCTATCAAWGTGTGCTTCCTAAACTTAATAGTGCTCACTGCATGGTTTTTATGGTTGAAAAGGCCGACGTTATTTCAGTCAAGTACATGCGTTATTTGTAATATACATGTACATGTGTAGTTAGCACTTGTATTCAGGGCACTTAACACCCAGTCAATACATCTGCAGGTAGGTTTCACTCGTTATATTTCAATGAGTTGCACAGTTTTCTCGCAATGGCTCTCAGTAGAACCTATGAGCAAGAGAAAGAAAACCAACTTCACTTTCTCTACAAAAAARGCTTTACTGATTCAATAAAGATTATTATTATTCTATTCCTTTTCTTCTCTAGTAACTAAACTTTAATTCCTAAGGAAAAGACTTAACGCTGGAGAAARAAACAGTTTTAAAATGCATAGGAAGCCGATTTCGCAGAAWTTTCATGAAAACGGTGAGCGATTCTTGTAACTACTGGATTTGCTTATAATTTAGTCAGTTTGCTGTTAATTATTTGTTGATCACACGTGATGCTAATTAAAACTTCCTTATGTCACGTGATATAGATAATATTCATGCATTGGAGATAAAGGAGTATATGTATGGATAAGAGAGAGAGTAAAGCGATCCATATCAATATAAAGCTCCGGGCTCCCGTAGATGTGCTGTAAATTATATCTCTAATATAGATTAAAAACAGCAGAGGTCCCAATATTGAACCCTGTGGAACTCCACGCGAAAKAGACGCAAAATAACAGGATATCATTTATTAAAAATGAAAAACTGTAGTGTATTGGAAAGATGTAAGAGAAATTGAATAGCACTACCCTATGATGATCCGAGCTTAATTAATAATATATTGTGTAATTAGCTATGAGTAGAAACGACTTTTAAAAGCTCGTTAACTGAGGCGTGACCGTACTTAATACCATCATTATTAACGACTGGGCCRTTAAAGATTTTAAGTTATATTCAGATACGAATTCAAGTAAGTATTTCAGCAGGTTTTSAAATATAAATTTCAGTGWTTTTATGATTTTTTMCMGGACGTTCAMCATATAAAATCTGCGATGATTTTTTTTTAATTACCCGTCAATTTCATGGATAATTCATGGAGAAATTCGCATAAACCCCAGCAATTTTTATGCTAATGCTGGAACACTTTTCAAATCGTGATTTGTCTTTGTATTATTCTCATTAAATACTCATGATTTTTAAAGTATTTAAGAAGCCACGAAGTGGTTAGTTTAGCCATAGTTTTAGCTTTGAGTCAGAAGCGTTTAGACACGCACCACCAAGAGGAATTGCTGAGGTGGCAGTGACGAGTACAAGATCTAACACAAACACCATTTTTAGGTTAGTTTTGAACTCTAAAACTTAAAACTATTTCAATATGAATTTGATATTATGATTTCAAATAGAGAATATATTTTCATCAAAACTGCGGAAAAAAATATAAAAATGTTACTATTGCTGTTACACCTAAGGATTTGCGGCAAAATTATCAAATAGAAATAAAGAACTAGATTGATTATACAGAACAGAATAGGTTGCTGTCTTTAACAGCAACAGTGACTTTTCATTTTTGCCAATATGCCGCAAAAGAGGGAAATTTTAATAAAAAAGTCTCGTTATATATAAAAAAGGTGTAAAACAATATGTAATTCTGGAAATKAGATGAAAGATTATACCTAATTCTAATTCGGAAATAGTTTTAAATGAGCTGAAATATCAATCTTATCTTCGAAAAAATAATTTTTTTAAAAATGAGTATCCTTCAAACGACAACCACCTTCGGTGACGGACATCTATTTGAAAATTTTAGCTGAAGAACAATCTTCATTTCGATTTGAARAATGCGTTAAGATTAGTTAGTAAAGCATATCTATATTTGTATCAAGATGTATTTGAATTTTCAAAACAAGGTGGACAGAAACGYGTATTACTGAAGAGATTCGTGGTGGGTGTTGTTTTTTACGTAGTTAATAGAGAGGACTAGTCGGCTCTCTATTATGAGCTGTAACTATGTTTTTTAAAAGGCAAAAGAATCAGTTTACTTTCTGGTGCAAAACCAGTGTCAACTTTGAAAAAGATGTTGTCCCACCWGAACRGAAAACTGGCGTTATATACCAGATTCCATAGACTGCAATGTGGTATATATTAAGGAGACAGGTACAAGAACACATGAACTGTGTGCGTTTATAGAAATACTGACAAGTCTGCATATATAAACAGACCATGCTAACCACACAGGACATGATATCGCGGGGCGGGAGTCTTCAATGCTCGCCCAAGAACCTAGATGGACTCAAAGATGCTGGCTTGAAGCTATAAAGATTTCAAAGTACAAAAATTGCCTTTTCAACAAAAATAAATAGTGGACGAAGACTTAATTAATTCGAAAGGTGGACTATAGCAGTATAATTTTATTCGATTCTAGAATAACTTAGTTCTCTTTTTAACAAATATTTAAAGATGTCCTGTAAATGTATTAAAATATTTATGAAAAATGAAAGCTAGACTTAATCAACTAACGCTTCCTAACGTTCTATTCAAACACCTGTAACTAAAGCCGTTCAATGGACTCTCTCGCCTGTCTTGAGCTTGCTAACAAGATTCAACCGAAATACTGAATTCAAATATACTAAAATATTTATGAAAAAAACACTGGAAAAAAGCTAATTTATTAATATTGAGTAAATTCAATCTGTCATCCTCTGAGTGCAAAAGAGCCATTTAACTGACACATACTTTGATACTGTTGTCCTGTTGCGTGAAGAGTCACGATTCAGAGCTCCACGTAACTGTGGTCATTATAATACTTTCAATTGACGAGACCGTTTTCACGGTGAGATTCCCACAAAAAGAGGAACTGCATGCACTAGAAACTTTATTGCGGACAAGATTTCAGCGCGATAATGAGTGGCGTCACACCCTTCTTTACGAAGCTTTCTTGAAATGAATTGCCGCCAATTAAAGAATCCCACCTGCAGGTTTGACATCACTCTCGAATCTCTTTTTGAAATATTTTTCCAGTTTAAGCATCGGAAAAAACAGAATTAAATACACTATACATTTGCAGTGACGACTGAATTGATTATAGCTCTTTCTATGATTTTCAAATATGGTCGACTTTTGCGAAATTAGATACGGTATTCCTTTGCTCAAGTATTTTCGTAAAAGCAATACGAGATTTCCAAGTTGTTTTCACGCGTTTTAGCCTAATGCCTTGTAAAATGTTTAATTATTTACAGGAATTGCTGTGTTGACCTATCTGTCCCGTTGATAATTTTGTAAACGAATAMTAAATACTTCGTTATGAGAATTCTGTTCAATAAAAGTTAATAAATCGCACCTGTTTCTTATAAGGCAACGCCATGAAAGACCACAAAGAGAAGMGAAAAAAGGATCCTGAATCTTCCCTTCTTCATCTTCTGCGGGATTTCTGTGGTTACACAAGCTGGGGAGGTTTGGGTCGAGTAGTCGGAACAAAGTTTATACTGTTCAAACTATTGTGGCTGCTGSTGTTTTTAGCTGCTCTTGGAATGGCGGCATACCAAGTCACACCGCTGTTCTACAAGTACCGCAGTCGACCGATCAACACTAGAATCTCATTGCATCATAATGCGGTAGGCGTAACTCGATTCCAGGCTTAAAGGTCCTTTGATCAAATGACACGCTCCATACTCAAAGAAATGGTATTGAATGTGATTTCCCAAAGTACAAAATTATTTGAGTATTCAGTGTCGGAATATATTTCGAGCAATTAATTATTCCCCGCGCTTGCATTTGTTTATACCCTAATGTTGAGCCATTAATTTCTTCTAAAATCATTAATTCTTGAAAGATAACGTTAAGCTTGCAAAGAAACCTCAGTGCCCTTCCTACAGTAGTTTTACTCAACATCCGCCATCTTGATAACAATACCATAATGCACTGCGCCATTATAAACATGACGTCATAGGTTGAAGGACCATTGATGCCGCACAAGATTTACTGACGATCACGATAATGCCCCTTATTTGTTTATTCAGGTTTATTCAGTTACTTTTGTAAAATGTTTTGTAGACCCTTGAGTTTCCCAGTGTTGTGTTCTGCAACTTCAACATGATTCGTAAATCCAAAATTCCTGAACTTCCAAAAAATGTCATCGAWGCTTTGAGTWTGTATGTATCAGGTATGTATGGCACTTCAGACTTTCTTTTACTTTGTCATACATTCTGGCTATTATATTTTGGCTATTATTCTTTGTTTTATGRATTTTAGAAAATCTGCTTTATTATTGTATTTTAAAACAGGGGACACTMAACTGGAAAAAGAAGAAGAAGAAGAATACCAAGACGATGAAGATAATGGATCCAATGGTGAAGAGTACGAAGACGAGGACGATTACGGAGAATACGATGATGAAATAGATCCAGACTTGTTAGACAAGGTGTACAARGCAGAAGAAAGATTGTCAGTTTTAATGGCTGACATTGATGTAGAAACTCTTAAAGAAATCGGTCATCAGTTCAACGATACGATTTTCACTTGTACATTTAAAGGAGTCGATTGCAGGTATTTTTCTGCAATGAACGCTACAGTCAATGTATGACACACACTCAAGCACTCATATTTGACACATTGCATAGTTAATATCCMTCTAATCGATGGCGCATTTTGGAATAATTTACTCAAGATTTTGCAGAATCCAGCACATGATCTTGAGTGAATTTATATATCATTTCARAGATTTACAAAAGTTGAATCAAGTGACTAAGCTCTCTCTCTATTAGTTGGTGTCTTTTCTGACAAATACATTTTATAAAATTCAACCAGGAATTTCAAGAAATTCTGGAGCCAATTTTGGCATTACAAATATGGCAACTGTTTTGTATTCAACCCTTACAAGATCACTAAAGGAAATCAAAGCAAAGTATCATCTCTCAGAGCTACAAAACCTGGACCCTTGTACGGTACGATCGGCTCGATCTTTGCATTGACTTACACTATTACTCATCTAAGTTTGCTTATTGTGTTTAGGTTTGACTGTCGCGTTGAATATTGAGCAATACGAATATGTTGATGACCTTACGCAAAGAGCTGGTGCAGCGGTGCAGATTGTAGAGCGCGGTAAAATGCCATTTCCATATGAAGAAGGCATAAGCGTCGCGCCCGGGTTCTCCACCTCCATTGGTCTACGAATGGTAAATATGCAGTTTAAAAAATACTGTACAATACTGAGTACTTGTATGGTGCATATGTKAATGAGAAACATTTTTGCAATGAAATGGGTCTCTATATGACAAGTAAAATTTAGTAATACAAAACGAGTCTTTGAATGGCTAAAAGACGAACAAATCTAAATATTTCCCACCACATAACAAAGAAAAAGCATTGCAAAAATCTCCATTATTCCATAATACTCTCTGCAATGTTTTCGTCCAACATTTTCCTTTATCTGCAGTTACATGTTCACCGTGAAGATCGTTTTAACAACGGTTCGTGCATCAAGAATATCACAGTTCCAGAAACTAATGTCTATGCGGAAGACTATAACATCACTTACTCAAGGACGGTTAGTTGCAAACGTTTTATAAGCACCAAATGCTCTTGTATAAGCATGACAAGATCATATATCTTGTTCTGCATAGGCCTGCGAGCAGTCCTGCATAGCTCGAACGCAGATGGCCGAATGTCAATGTGTAGAGTACAAGTATCCTGGTGCGATTGGTTTTGAATTCTGTGACGTCCTCAACAAAACTGTTGGTAAGTCAAAATTAAAAAAATTTATAAGATACATGTATCCCAAGGAACGTGCGCTCCTCAAAAAGGTTTACGTGAGCTAACACAAGAGGGTCAAATACAAGCTAGGCAACGACAAGGATTTTAAGCATTTCCAAGTATTTTCCTGGACCCCTTCCTGGTCTTTGCCAGATTTCAAACAACTCCTGATTTTAGTGGTTACTTTTAGTGGCGTGTCTGAGGAAAGTCGCAAACAAAGCAAAACTTGGCAGACTTGATTGCTCTTCTTGTCGACCTCTTTGCTTGTAAGTATTCAGCCATCAAACTAGTSTTGAATAAAATGAACAATTTAATCAAGTTTTGTCTCTCCGCAGTGACAAGGTGTTTAAAGTAGCATCGTCCTTTTCCGTTTGGCCTTCAATGAAATACAAGGTATGTCCAGATTTGGCTGGGATGCACAGTCAGCTGGTAGTTGATTTGGTATTCAGACTTCCTCTCTATTCGCACAACATATATATCTGCTTTTCTTTTAAACCTGTTCCTCTTTCCTAGTGTAAATATGTAGGAAAAGTAGTGTCTATTGTATTTTATCTCTTTAGAAATCGTTGTATCGATCTGCAGATGAAACGGATGAAGTGCAAGAAGACGATGAAAATGTTACAGAATCAACTGACAATGATGGAGGGTTTATGAGGTTAGTTGTCATTGACTTCAAGGTTGATTCCCATTAGTGAGGTAAGTGAGGATGGATGTGGGCCGGAGCAGAAATMAGAAACGCGTGTGATTACCGAATTGAATGTGGAGAGGTTAAGAACGCACAACTCAAAGGAACCTTCTGCTTCCCTGTCTTCACCGTTTAAGCCTCTTTCTCCGTTCCCCTGGGCGAACTTACCTCACTAATGAGCCCTTATAGTCGATAGTATCAAGGTTTTATTATATCCCCTTTCACGACATTAATGATTTCTCCTTCAGGAAAGAGAAGGCTGCTACCCGCACAAGGTCCAAGTTGCTCATATAAAGCATTGCAGTGAATGTACCCATAATTAGAGGGCCGCTGGAGAGATGATACAATCTCTGCTGTTTGAAGGTCCAGCGGTCCTACTTGGTAGAGGTCCTCGGTTCATTTTCCCAGAGTTCCTAGCAAGGGATGAGGGGGCATGRGAAGAGTGGACAGATCCTAGCAATGTGACAGGGAGTTGTTGATTGAGGGTCACCAGATGATGACGAAAAGGCTTTCTATCAGTATCTGTGTTTTTTAATGGTTTTTGCCTTCTTATTATCTGTCTTCATCTGTGCTCTTTTTCTTTGTCTTCTACTGAGTCGACTTCTCCTTTATGTGGTCTTCTTCATTCAGTTCTTGCAGCTTTGTCTTGTTCTAATTCTTGGTCGGCTAGTCTTTCTCTGGCAGAACGTTCTTCCCTTCAATCACTCTCTTTGTTTCGTACTCATCTAACTTTTTCCTCACTCAACTCTGTAAGCCATCCTTAAAAGTATTTGTCTTTTCTGTGTTCTGTTTCTTTGGTCCTTGGTCTTCTTGCTTCTTGGTTGATTAATGTTCAATCATCCTTTGTTAGAATGTCCTTCGGTGAATGTCTTTTTCTTGTTAACCCCTCAGACTAATCCCTCTTTAGAAATGTATTCTACCTTTTCTATGTTCTTCAAAACTTACGGCTTGACCTTCTCTTAGTACTTCCTTTTCTGTCCTTCTTCAGTAAAAATACCTTGTTCACGCTCAGTTAATCTTTGTTCTTCCTATTAATGTCCTTTCATTGCTTTCGCTCGTCCATCTAGCTCGTCTTCCACTCGTTGAAAACTCTATAGGCCTGGTTCAGACGTTGTTAGTACTTTAAATGATCAGCTTCAGTTTTGTGTTTTGACTTTACTTTTGTATTTCATATTATGTATCTTACAATCAACTCTTTCTTTCTCTTTAGCAACAACCTCTTAAAAGTTCAAATCTATTTTCAAGAATTAAACTTTGAAGTTATCGAAGAAACTGTATCTTATCAGGTATAGTAAAACTTAGATATTGACCCTCAACTGACAATATGRCCCACTTGTAAGAGCTTATGTTCTCTGAAAGAACAGAATGGCATCAAATTCTAACGACATTTCACTTTGAATGCCTGTTTGAATTTAAAAATTAAATGAAGTTTATTTGCTGTTATAGGTTGAGAACTTTTTGTCTGACATYGGTGGCCAAATGGGCCTGTGGCTAGGTGCTTCGTGCTTGTCCGGAATCGAAGTAGCCGAATTGTTGGTTTATATGGTAGCGTATCTACTGGGTAGGAAAAACAGTGACCGCGAACATGATGAAGAAGCCATACCTATGGAAGAGAAAATGCTTGACAACAAAGAAAACAACGAATGTTTGTCATGATGGACACTTTTGTACCAAAAGTAGTACTTTTCGATTGTCTTTGTTTTATTCGGATGTTTAGTTAGTTTTTTTCTTAATTTTAGGAGCATTTTTAAATAAGTTAACTTAAAACATCAGTCAAATAATATGTATAGTGATTATATCAGTGTTGCCTTTTGTTCTAAAGACCCCMYTGTAAGTAACGCAGTTTGCTTTTTRGGTTTTCTAAGTTTTTATTTSATTAGCTCAAAATGCTTATKATTTACAGATATTATAGTAATTAGACAAGTCAATCAATACGCCATATTGGAATTCGTTAAGAAGTCTAATTTCGTCTGAACTCTCGTTCCTTATATCACTTTTACGACCAAAAAGTCGCTAGCTAAAGTTRCCCCATATATAGGAAACAATCATCGATTACGACGACCTTCTGCTGAAACAAGATTGTGTACTAATGCTGAATATACTGTACTAATAAAATCACATGGAAAAGATCATCCCAGTTTGTGTGAAATTGAGTGCATTGTTCGATATACCCCAGATTAAATCATGTTTTAACACGTTYAAGTGAAATKTKTATAGCTCAGTAAAGTCCAGTTAAACTTACTGAGTCCAGAATGAAAATGAAAAAAGATGTCCTCTATTTTCYCTTCAAGGCCTTGAGACTTCTAGACAGCAAAGCATACCTCTAKTCACTATAGCTCGCGCTGATCCTTAGCACGTAGTGACATGTTAACTGGAGAAACTTCAGTTGATTCGGCAGACTGCGGCGTGGTAAATATGCAAGCCAGTGCTTTACGGAAAGCTTCTTTGAACTCGCTGTTCATRAGCCAGTAAATGAACGGGTTGATCGTACTTGTGAGATAGAGTAAATACATGTACATAAGATAAACCTGACGAGGAAACTTGCCACCACCTAACATAGATAACATTGAAAACCATATCATCATCATCATTGTTATCATCATCAACATTATCATCATGCATGCATCATATCTCATCACTGTCATAAACTAAAGAAAGTCACTCAAGGTGGACTTTCTTGTAAATATCAATTCCAGTTTATAAATTTTAGTTTTTGATGCTAATTTTTGATTTTATATGACAAAAGTCTTGAAATTAAGTTAAATATGTGCATCACTATGGCAATAACAATTGACAAACCTGTTGCCAAATCTCCAAAGTCGACGACCGAAATTGGAAGCCAGCAAATTGTGAATCCAGCGGTTGCAGCCATCATCATTCGAGTGATTTTAAATTCTTTGATTTTTCGTCGATKATCGCGGTTCCTTGACGTCATGTCAGCGATACGGTTACTGTTTCTCTTCATTGCTATATAGCACTTCCAGTAGCTCACGACTATGGTAATAGCAGGTATCAARACAAATACAATCTCGACAAAACAAGTATATGGTATGTTGGTATTGAACGGATAGATGCACATGGCTTTTCCAGGATGGAATTCATAGACACCGACACACTGCGTCAGGGGGGGCGTTGATGCAGCGAGAGGCACCAACCATAGGACAAGTATCAGCTTCCAAAGATGCCCTCTCGTCCCAATCTTGCCATAGAGGAATGGTCTCACGACGGCAAAGTAACGACTGACCGCAATGGCGCACATCGACAACTAYACAGATAAATCMAATTGTTAAAAAGGCACACTTTGGAACCTGGTAAAATTGCTGTCAAATAAATCGTGATTTTAATCTACATAGTATATATCTTATACTGTTTTATGTTAGCGGTCAAAATGTTTGTAATGTATCACTGTAATCACTGTATCACTGTTTGTAATGTATCACTGTATAAAAGAAACGTTTGCGTACCGTTGATGGAATTGCAAATGTAAAGACGGAAACGCCCTGGACATCGCACACTATTTCTCCATAAGGCCACCGTCCAGTGATTAAGACCCCTAGTGACAGCGACATGGAGACCATCGCCATTAGGATGTTYGATACAGCTAAGTTTAGTACCAACATATTGGACGGGGTTCTCAGACGTGGGTTTCGTGCAATGACATAACAAAACAACGCGTTACCAAACGTGCCGAGTACGACGAGCAAAACGAGTAGCCAATCCTCGATGACTTTATTAAAAGTGTTTCTTGAACGGAGACGTTCATGTAGTGACTCCATAGCACTGCACAGCTTACTTTTCACGTTTTTCCAGACGGCTGAGAAGGGAAAATTGAGTTGAATGTCAGRTGTTGCTAAAGTTTTCTTTGACTTYATYCAGTTGTCCATCAAATCAGTCTAGATTAACATTACTTACTTAAGAATCAATATATTGAAAAAGATGAAAAAATATTGATTGTATTTTCATAAATGTATCAGTTGACCTTTTACCAAGGAGACGTAGAGTCCTGAATATTAAATGATTAAAAGCAACAATTGATCAAGTCCGATGGGAAATTGCGACTTTATCATAGAATTATGTACTTTCTAATAGTACTAGTCTTCTGATCTCGTTCTTCTTCTTATTGTCAATTTTTTATGTCAGTTTTCGAATCCATATCGCAGTGTTATCATGATCGAATCGCAGTCGTATTTCACCCCTTTCTACATTCATATCAATAAATTTACAGATCTTCTACTTCTTTCGGCAATTCGCAATTAAAATAGTTTTTAACAATGTTATCTGTCAGATCATGAATTAGAAGTATTCTGAGATGAATCTCATAGTTTATCAGTACAAAGAATTGACGATAAAAACAGAATGTTCGATACATACCTTGTTCAGTGATCGGACTGCCTTACCACATGACTGTCAGTCTCTCTTAGTTCCGCAATATTCAATCAAATAAAAAAGACGGTATGTCTTTGAGGTGGTCAAATTGCGTTTCACTTCCTATTTTCAAGTATTTCAGACTTCCTAGAATCTTATTAACTGCAAGTTGAATGTGTTATCATAGTGACAGATCACTAATAAACTGGAATATCTTCCAGCGAATATCTSATAAGTTGGCATCTCTTATAAACAGGCCACTCTCATGGCATCTCTTATGAGYAGGCCACTCTCTCTCATACGCGGGCACCTCTCATAAACAGGACACTCTTAATAAGCGGGCATCTCTTATAAGCAGGACACTCTCATAACCGGTCATCTCTTATAAGCCGGCCACTCTCCTAAGCGGGCGGCTCTTATAAGCAGGCCGCTGCGGACGGGTTCTCCGATCATTGCATGATGGAAACCAGAACTCAAATACTGACAAAGACGAAGACCAAGTATAATACCTACCTGTTGAATAGATTATCGAGCATTTAAATTTGGATGAGGTGGAAGGAGGGCTAGTTTTCAGTCCTCTCCCTCAAACCACACAGGAATCCCAATCACCAAACGGTGGCCTTTAGGAAATAGGAAGTCAACAGGCTACTCTCTTCCTTCATTGCGGGAGTCAAGGAAAAACCCTAGACAAACTTCAAATCTCAGTTCAGGCTGAACTTTTGTCTTTAGAAATTGAACTAGGAAATCAAAAGAAGACAAATGAACAGCTGTAAAGGCGTTATCAAGCTTTGTTTATATCCGCCGTTTGTATTAGCACTACGCGATTTTAAAAATGGACCAACGCTTCCATTTTGTTCGCGTGGAAATCCCTGTCAATTAAAGCCATCAGTTGAGCTCAAGACATGTTATCGCCAACAGTAATATTATTTCTTTGAGATTGATGATGGTAGACAMAAACTACAGTTACAATAGRTTTCTGTTTGTCAAACCTCACGCTGTCTTCCGTGTGTACAATCAGCTGCTGACCGTTATGATATTTGATATAACGCTTTTTATGTTTGATACATCTAATTGAAAAAACGCGTAGTCGTGTTCGAAAGGGTCACATCATAGAAGCTAAGACCGAAAGGGATTTTGAGTACCACTAAATTGGGATTACATTTGCATATACGGTGTTTAACATGGTGCACGGTAAAGCAACTAGAGCTATATAGTAAAATTAACAGCATGCTAGTCTTTTATGCTGGAGAGCTGTTTGTATGAAATTAGCCAAATTGTTTGTCTTCCTAAGTACCTTTTCGGTCTTAGCTTCTATGATTAGACCTTTTTGGACCCGACAACGTTTCTTCAATTAGGTGTATACCAACACAACGCATTTGTAAACAAATTGGGAATATCGTCATCATATTTGGTAAATAAGACTTTTATTATGCATTCGTCAAATACCTTAAATATACCTTTTTACAGCAGAAATTATGATCTTTTCGACTCATATTTCAAGTATATATAAAACATATCAGAACAGGGATATCATCGCCAATAATTTTTATCAGAAAGTACTAGTGCTAGGCAACTTCAAAAAAATATCAGCGATGATATCCCATAATTTCTGATATATTTTATATCAGTATACTTGAAATATGAGTCGAAAAGATCATAATTTCTGCATATTGCTGTATACAGACTTATGTGCGTATTAACGTAGTTTAGGAATATTTTGATTTTTTAATTCAAATTTGATTGTTGATTCTTGCTCTAATCAATCTTTTTTTTCGAAGATAAATAGTGCCGGGAACTTAACCTTATACACAAATGCCAAGACATTTTTTAAGGAAGCTTTGATTTACACTTGCACCAAGACAGTCTGTAGAAGGCTTTGTTCAATTTCAAAAAGATCAACGTCAACGTTTTGTGTCACGACTTTCCATACTCAGGTTCAGTGACCATATGAACAAAGCATTGAACCGAGGCGTCAAAGAACACTGATCACAGATCTTTTCAGTTATGTTTCACTGTACCTTGACGCCTCGGTTCAATGCTTTGTTCATGGTCACTGAACCWGAGTATGGAAAGTCGTGAACATGATCCAGGAATCTATTCTAAATAAAATGCATTTTCTGTAAATGCGATGCCTTCGATTTGACTGTTTCCATTGCAGCTACTTATGCATACGAAAAAATGTTTAAAAGGTTTTTCAACCTTTTAGAGASACATATCCTTTTAGCAATAAAAGGACCGATTATTTACACAAACGACATCAAGTAAAATATTGACTTTGCTGTTTACATCAAACCTTGAAAATCAATGGCAGAGGACTGGAGAAAGATTCGGCTGAAATCTGTCTATTAAATGACACTATTATGGTGATTTTCTTCGTAGTGTCGATATTCTGTTTTCATGCAATCATAATGAAAAGAATGTATTGATATATTTGCTTTGTTCACCATTCTCCAATTGCCATAATGAAATAAGGCCAGCAGTATTCGACCAATCAGAGCGCGCTCATGATTAAATTTTCCCAAGAGTCTTTGCACGCTCCAAAAGCAAAATGTTTGTCTCGCACATTGAAAATTACATAGGAATATATTGCTGTATTCATCGTACTTTCTCGATATTTTAATGAGTGTTTTAAGTAGAAAATGATGACAGTGTTACAATTAAGCAGTATTTGTGGTTTGAGTCGAGGACTGATCAAGGTTTCCCATACCTTGCGTTCCTCGTCTAGTATCTTCCGATGAATGACTTCCATCGCTATGTTTTGCAGWAAGGCAAGGGAGTGCGTTGTTGAAGGCTCGTTTGAAGTCCTTGTTCATTATCCAATAAATAAAAGGGTTGATAGTGCTCGATAAGTAGATTAGAAATGCGTTCAGCATGTACACTTGACGGGGAAGGTTACCACCACCTAATAGAAAAAACAAATCGCTCTATAATTCACAACAATTATAATCTGGTTCAGTATCAAGCTTCTGTTTGGAAGCCTCCTGCATTTTGCACTTTCTAAGCATGTTATTATTGACGCCGAGACTAAACTAGAAATGATTATAACAGACTTCTACAAACCTGTGCCAACATCAGCAAAATCGATAATGGCGACGGGAATCCAACAGATCATGTAGCCAGCGGTAGCGCTCATCATAGTCCTTGTCGCGCGSGATTCCTGTGCTCGCCTGTGCACGCCAGCCTGACTCCCTCCCCCCATAGTCATATCAGCTACTCGTCTGTTATTTTGCTTCATAGCTGTATAGCACTTTTTGTAACAGATGACGATGACATTGGATGGCAAAGCAATGAATAGTACTTCCACTAATATTGTGTATATGATGTTAACGTTAAATGGATAAATACAAAACGCTTTTCCGGGCTGAAAGGCATAGTAACCCCACCCAGCCAATGGCGGTACTGTTGCTAGGAATGGMAGTAACCATAGAAACACGATCATGATGCGGATTTGTTGCGGTGCGAAGAATGACGTAAAAAGGAACGGCTTCGTTATGGCGAAGAATCGGTTGATGGCGATTGCACACATTGTGGCCTAAGGACAAAAATAATATGTATTTATATGTTGGTTAATCAAGGCTGGATTTCCACTAGTGGGTTAGCAAGAAAGGAATTATTGGAGAAATAAACAGGACGGAAGGTTGTCATCTTTTTTAGTATGTTTTTTTTTTACCAACTTTTCCTTTTCTGTTCTCTAATTTTCTAATTATGCGCTCAACAACCTTCCTTCTGTGTCAACCTTTCCGCTCACTTCACTAAAAAACAATTAAACCCGCTCAGATGTAAAACTTAGACTCTTACAATGACCTGAGATGCTAAGCACTTCCTAGACTTAATTCTTAACTCAAARAAACAACGAGATTTTAAGTTTTTATCCTGATCATTTGGTCATGTAAATGACACGCTCAGCACCACTTCACACATACCACACACGGTGATTTCGTTTCTGAAGAGGAAAAGCTGGAGAGCAAATCTCGTCGTAGAGGAGAGAAGTGAAAACARCCTTTCAGAGCTTCTTTTTTCACGGGTACACTTAATTTGAAAAAAAATAACTCTTTTGTGTTTTCCTCACGTGATTAAAAGAAATACATMATCATTCCTGATATTAATTGCAATTTGTACTAAAGGTAAAGAATCATGATTTTTTTAGCTGCCAAAAGATCACATTTTTGATTATTGAAAAATCTTGATTGAATGCCATTATGAAGGAGAGCGAATTTGCGGTTTTCGGAACAGCGGATTCTGAGATTTTTTGCTTTTAGCATAATTTTGAAAATTTCAATTGCGGATTTGCGGCGCGCTGAAAACGTAATGTATGAAGGTTCCCGGTGGATTTAAATGATATTTCTTGCGGATTTCAAAACCCTCCAATTCCCTTCAAAAATGCCGTATCTCGCGCATTTCAACGACATTTTTGTTTTCAAAGTAGACGTACCTCAGATACTATGCCAAATGAGAAAATAAGAAATCCTTGAATGTCACACATTGCAACACCATAAGGCCAACGTCCACTAATCAAAACACCAAGCGATAAAGGCATACAGATTACAGCCATTAAGATATCAGAGACAGCAAGGTTGAGCACCAGCATATTGGACGGAGTTCTCAGTCGTTGGTTCATTGCGATGACATAGCATATCAACGCATTACCAAACAATGCCAGAAGCATAAGAACAACAAGTAGAAAAGCCTCAATGACTTGTGTTGAAGCATGTCTTGAGTAAAGCTCTCTTATCAAAGCAGGATATTCATAAAGGGAAGCCATTGCCTTGAATCCTAGCTAATCACTAGCGAACCATTAGGGTCTTGGCAGAATCTGAAATTGAATGAGAAAAGTGGTTATTCAGCGCTGAGCAAGGTGTAAGATGAGATGGAATGTGTTTCCACTAATTGTTTCATGTACATCTGTATTGTCATTGACGSCACAAACTATGCCTGAATCCAAAACTGCATTCCATTCTTATTTGGTCTTTTGTTAATCGTTTGGACCATGGAAAATTGACCGTGCCTCTTTCAGCTTTAACTTAATCGTGATACACTATAGTACTATCTGTATATCACAGAAATTCACAATGGACATTTTTCCTTCGTTTACGAATGTTTCACTTTTAGCTAGAAGTCATTTTTTGTCCGATTCAGTTACCTGAAATATGGAGAGATAGATCCTCTTCGTTGAGACCTGAATCGAATCAATGTTAACTATGTAATTGTAATCCCTTTATCTTCGGTAAGACTGAGTCGTGTCATTTTGAAGTTCCAAGCCATCAAGTTTGAGYATTATACATAAAACTACCTTTACAGATGACTCGAGTATGTAAATACCAAAAAGCGCGCGATAGATAATTTGAAGTACAGCCCAATCAAGTCATGTTCTACAGCAAGTGTTTGTTTAGCTGTCTAGTATTTGGCAGGGCTTTTTAATTCGCGTGTGAGACGCCTTTTAAGTTGCATATGGCCATAAAAAGAAATCTGTTTCTCAAAGTAAACAAACCTAAAAACAAAAAGTAATATCTTTACAAGACTTTGCAAGTCGTTTAATTTAACACACCATTTCYGACGCAATAAAAAAGAACTCATATTTCACTTTAGAYTCATTTTTYGTTGTTCWACGTGACTACGTTTTTTACATTTTTCTATTTCAAGGTTTTTCAGCGATGCATCATGTTACTGTTTGATGATTGATAGACCAGTGACTTCTTTTTTATTTACTTTAAAAACAAAAGAAAAGATTTCTTTTTAATTTGAAAGTTATTGATGGTACCAACACAAATTAAATGTACTAATACTCGGTGTATTAGAAAAAAATCATGATTTTTAACAGCGCGAGCTGGGATTTCTCTCGCGAGTCGAGAGAGCAGAGGCGGAGACTGGATGYCCAACACCCAACTTTAGCAATTTTTTTTCCATAATTATGATTCTAAAAGACCTCTGTTAGAAAAGTATTCRGTGTTTGCTTAACATACAWGGTTTTAGGTATCCTTTTCATCAAAATGACCGTCAGACTCTCAATGAGTTGAAAGTCGTTTTAARGAAAAGTCAATCTTGCCAAACTGTTGTCTAATTCTATTCAACATTCAATTAAAGCCTGCAACACACGAGGTTTCCTGTCCACTTTCATCACTTGGACCGCTCAATGAAATTAAATTAATCRCGTTGCTGAGGAAATTATTGTATATCTTACGGCGGTTTTATATAGCACTTTTCT